GCTTATTTGTGAGCACAAAGACCCCCTGTGCCTCCTACAGGAAATGAAGCAGAAGCCATGGAGGAGTGCTGCTTATTGGCTTGCTCCTCATGGCTTGCTCAGCCTGCTTTCTTAAACCACCCAGAGCCATCTGCCCAGGAGTGGCACTGCCCACAGTGGGTTGACACCTCCCTCCTGCATCAACCATTAATCAGAAAACGCTCTATAATTTGTCCGGGCAATCTGATGGAGACATTGTCTCAATGGAGGTTCCTTTCCCCAGATATGTCTAGGTGTGTTGTAAGTTGATAAAAGCTAACCAGCATAGGGTCTTTACAAGGACAATCACCAGAGACTCCTGTTTTTCTCTCATCTTGAGAACTCACTGGGGAAAGGCTAGGGCACAGGGAGGATGCAAATCTACAGGCAAGGGAGAAAGCACTCACAGTAGTCAAATTTACCAGCATCTTGATTATTAGAACTCCTAACCTTCCAAAGTATGAGACCCCAACCTGACCCAGGCTTTCTGTATGTGCGTCTGTCCTTCCCTCGCTCCCTCCCTGCTCCTAGCCAGGGCTCTAGTACAGAAGCCACATGGCATTCTGGCGAGCAGCCTAAGCAGTGCATGACAAGGGTCTGAAAGCTTTATAAGGTAGACAGTGTCTAAAGGGTCTGCGGATAGAATTGTGTTTCAACAAAACCGTGTTAAGTGTAAACATATGCATGTAGGCATTTAAAACACTATTGTTAGAATGACTTCAAAGACATCATCAGACTGCCAGTAAGCCCCATGATGCAAACCCAAACAAAAAACCAGACAAAAACAAAACAAAACCCCCCTCTGACCTCTCTCTGTGGTGTTGGTATGTCTCTCAACTTGTTTTAAACCAAAAAATTTTTACTAGGCTCCAATGTAACCCAAGTCTATAACTTTTAACTATATTAGAATCCATTGCTTGATACAGTCATATGGGGAAGAACATTATACAGACTCCTCTAAGGTATTTGATTTTCGCAGGCATTTATTGAGTATGAGTATGAGCCACTAAATAACACCATGTCACCTTATATACAAACAGTGTAAGCTTCGTTAACATGTGCATATAGCATACATGCTGTAGCATACTGTGTAAGTCTTCCAGATGACAGCTAACAGCACAGTAAATTGACAAGAAAATAAGACATCATTACTGATTGGTCAGGGTCCCTCCTGCATAGCAGAGCTGCTGATGTCTGAAATGGTGAGAGTGCAAAAATGATGTAGCTACTTGGGAACTGGAAATTCCACAAAACCTTAAATATAGAAATAGCATATGTCAAAGGATCTGACTTCTGGGCATTTATCCAAAAGAACTTTGATGTAATAGAGAGCTCAAAGAGTGATAAAACTCCTTATAATAGTTAGGATGCAAACTAGTCTAAAAGTAACTAGTTGCAAAGGTTAGGGTGTGGCCTAGCCTAAAAGTAATTACTTGCAATGGTTACAATAGTTAGGATTGGTCTAG